GAGAATGAAACTTTGTTTCGACCATTTGTGCGACTGAAAAATTAATAACTTATATCTTGCGGTTTGCAAGAGTGTCTTAAAGTTTGTTACTTTGTTTCTGACTGCTTTATAAATATGTAGAGAGAATATTGCGATAACGACAAATTTATTCAACTAGTTTGACCAGGTAGGTTGAGGTCACTAAAAAGTAGTGAAATTTCTCTACTTTCGAGACTTGTGTCTTGTGAGAGGAAAATATTTTCCCACTTTATTGTAAATATTTACAAATAATTTTAATAATTATTTTTTCACTTAATAATTAATTTACTTTTTAGTTCTTTGTTAACTAATTCTCTTTAAAAAAAAAGGAATTTCAAAAAAAAAAATTTTTTTGTAAAAATTGGAAAAAAACTACATTTTTCAAAAATGTAGTTCAATTATTTCCTCATTTTCAGTATTTCATGGAAAATAAAATTGTCTATAGTTATCTTTTTTTTTTGAAATATATTTATTGGCAATTAGTTTTTTTGCTACTTTTCTAAATGACTGTCTCAACATGATTATTGAAACTGTTTACAGAGCACGATGTATGACCTGAGTTCCTTGCTGTGAAGCTAATTGCGTCATGTTGAGCCTGCAGGTCCATTTTCTCATGAAAAACTCGTGGACTTTGAACATCCAAAGTGTTTTTCTTCTTACTTGCTAGCTTGACTGTCAGTTGATGAACAGACTGTGATGAACATTCAGTTTTAATATAGGAGCGCGACCCTCTAACTCGCCGTCCAAGAATCTATTCGCATCGAGAAGAAGACGGCAAAACGCCAATGTATTAAATGTTAGTCAGTGCTTGAACGTTCATCGATGCAGGGACCTTCTTCTTCTTCTTCTTTTGACTCAATTAAAACGAGTCACTTCTTTTTTTAATTTTAAAAAACAAATCGAAATGATTCAGTGTAATTCACAAATTTCGTTAGACAAGTGCTCTACTTTCGTGACATTTTCAAAAAGCAAATTCTCCTAAAATTTGAAAATCATTTTCAAAATTTAAAATTATTGAGGGGAAAAAATATTTCTTCAAAATAGATTTGGGATTTTTTGTTTTGTCAAGGGAATTTTATTATGATTAATGTGAATGGATTATTGTGATATTTGTGGGTGCAGGTGTTTTTTTTTTGTTATTGTGCGCAGGATATGATTAAGTTATTAAATTGAAATCATGATTACGATACCAATCACCGCATCTAGTCCATACGTGACTGTCACCTCATACAGCGACGCGAGCGCTCTTAGCAAAAAACCATCGGTAAGGGTCATGAACGTCTTGATTACCTGGAATATTACTTTGATATACTTGACAGGCGTAAAAACTATATAATTACAATCGTTTCATATATAATTCCGTGTTTTAAAATCTATTCATTTTTTGATGACTCTTGTTTTATCAATATTTTTTTTTCCTTTTCCGTTATCATGATATAGCTTTTTTCTTAATCTAACTTTGAATATTGTCTTTTAATTTCTGTGTCAAATAAGATAGAGCGATTGCATTCGAATATGTTTTTAATGTTTGAATTTTATCAAAATAGACAAATTTGTTTTTATGACATCATCAATGGAAGCTAAAAATTTTACTTAATTTTATCAATTTCTTCTTTATTTATTGAAAGGAAACTTTTTTCTTTTTCATTGTGTTTAATTTAGTTTCTTCGTAAATTTTTTCTCTTTTCTTATATTCGAAATTGTTTCTCTGGCAATTAATTGAAAAATGAAATTTGCAACTTGAAACGCTTAATCGATATTGACATATACACGATAGGTAAATGAATTTATGGCTGATGATGCCTTTGTATTTCCCTGTATTGTGGGTAATGAACGATAAAGCAGACTAACGTCGATCTAAATTTACAGGGTAAGCCAATCGCTGAAGAATTCTAATCCTCTGCCAGCCCTCATTGTGTGGCCGTGTTCGTGTTAGCTAACAAAATGAAACAATGAGCCAAATGCAACAATTTTACACTTCTCTTTTGTAGTTTCTTTTTTGTTAATTATTCCAGTGAAATCCAATTCATCATTACTATAGTCAAATTATTTAATTTTTTTTTCAAAATTAATTACATACTTTATTAGAAACAGTACATTAATTTTCATAATTAAGTTTATTTTAATTTAATTTTCGTTTACAATTATTTTTCAATTTATTTATAATTAAAATTTTTTTTTTATTTAAAACTAAAATATTTTTTTGTTTAGTCTTAAATACTTTAAGCAAAATTGGCAAAGATTTTTAAAACGTATTAAAAGATGTAAAATACGGGATATAATATTTTAAAATAATCATTATCCGTTTTAGAAACACGACATTTGAGCAAAAAATTGATACTTTTTTCATAACAAAAAAAAAAGAAAAAAATTCTATGTCTTTGGCTATCAGTAATAGAGATCATATTTGAATTTAATTTAACATGTAAATTATTCGAATAATAAGAGAATCTTAAAGAACACACTTTAAAAGAAATAATCGATAAAAAATATAACTCGTATCGTGAGCACTTGACGTGTTTATGAATATTGAATCAACGTCACGATACAAAAGGATAATTTATATAGAGGTCCTACGTTTTTATTTCTTCTTTTTATTTCAACTTTTTTTCACTAAAGAAATTATTAATTTTACTAATTATTTTTTGAATTTTCAAAAAATTGAATAGATATTTCTAATTAAAATTTTCTTTTTAAATTAAGTATTTTGGATTGTAAATAAATACTTTAATTTAAAACATTTTTCGATTTTATGGCTGGCGGAAAGTCTTCTTCTTATTCTTCTTTTTTTTCCTTTAATGATTTGTATCTTTCCAAGAATGTTTCGTTGGCTTTTTATTGTGTGAAAATAATACATTCTCGTTATTTCTGTCTTGGTGGATAAATTTCAAGTTCAAGGTAGAATTTGAAATAGTTTATATAAAAATTATTGTTAAATAATTTTTAAAGGACTTTTTTTCTTCTATTTTCTTCTGTGAAATTTTTTTAAAGATTTTCGTCACTTTTTTCCGATTTTAATTCAAATTGGCCTGTGGAAAATAAATATTTGTAAAGAATATAAATTTCATTTATTTATTTTATATCAAAAGCTCTGGTGTCTGTATTTTTATAATTATAAATTCGCGGAGTCATTGACCGGAAGATTGGTAAATTTTCAAAGATTTGCTTTTATGGAGCGATAACAAAATTATTGGTTTTCAGACAGCAAGTAGGACAATAACAGTTTTCTATTGACATTAACCAGATCACTTGATGTATATATATATTTAAAATATAACTATATTTTTTTTCTTTTAAACAATTAGAATTAAATTGAAATTTTTTTTATCTGAAACAAGAGATTTATAATTTCTTTTTTGTTTTAGGAATATTTTTTTGAAAGAAAAATTTTATATTCTTTTTAATAAAAAAAAAAATCTTGAATTTTTATTCTATTCTCAACATAGTTTAACATCTACTTTAATATCGATCAAACTTGACTGTTCAATTGTCCAGGTCAATTTATAAATTGAAGCGATACTATTTTGCTTAAATAAATTTCTCGCTCGAGTTGTCCTATCTTGTCCTTCATATTACAATGCATTCCCATAAATAAAAATTGAATTAATTGAGAAAATGTACAATGAGAAAACATTTAAAAAAAGATCTAAATTTGTTTATATGAAAGTCGAAAATATTCAGTAAAATTGATTGAAAAATATAAAACCAATTCAACGACTTTTTACTGATTCTTTTATTCAACTTTCTCATTTCTCTCTTTTTTTTGAATATGTATATGAGAATTTGATCTTTCGCATATACGATTTGCGTCATTATCTCAGTGTTTCTTACTAAAATTCATTATGTTTATACCCTCGTTGAAAAGAGATTCTATTCTATACTATACCTTCTGTCCGAAGGTCTTGCGCGTTTTATTTTTATCATCATGTTTACGTTGAAAATTTATGACTTTTGAAAATCAAAGGACTGCGGAATAGAGAAATAATTGATTTATCTTTATGAGAGGAGGACTGATTTATTTTTAGAATAGGATCATTAATGGAAATTAGATACATATATATAAAAAAAAGAATCCTTGTTATTTTTCTGTTTTCTTCAATTGATTGTTTTTGAAATGACTAACAAATTTGTTTTACCATTTTTCAAATAACTTGATAAATGTGAAAGAAGAGCATCCACATAATAGATAAAATATATATATAATGATAAAGCTTGACTCATAATTGGATAAAGGAAGCCCCTCTTTACTATTTGCTTTCTGTATCTGAAACGCGCGGTCTGGACTCTTTTTCCCCCTCTTCAAAAATACTTCCTCAAACAATATATAATCAAATGTCAATACTCAAATTTTTTTTAATAAAAATCCATTTTTATTTTTGAAAAAAATATTCAGATTTAAAAATTTTTTAATTTCAAATTGATAATTTTATACTTTTAATTTAGATTAAAAAATTTTATTGACAATTTTTAAGGGGAGAAAAAAAATTTTATTTACGTTGAACATTTTCCTGAAAGATTTAATTAAAGAAAATCGTTTTTATAAAGCAACAGGTGCGTTAGATGTATCAAATTCACCAGATGTAATGTTTTCTACTTTCCAAATATGTGCTATACAATTATGCAAAAAAAGAGCTAATGTAACAACGGCACATAAGTGTTTGTTTAGATCGAAAGAAATGACGCACGACCTAGAAAAAAAAGTCCTTTTGAATATAATAACTCTGTCCAATTAGAAACCTCACCTTAAGCTGAGAAAAGGCTCATTAGTGCCTCTCTTCTCGTTTTATATTGTCAGAATAAAAAAAGAAAATAATTATAACATAAAAATTTTCCAACGTCTTGTAGATGAGAAAAAAGAAATATAGAGAATTAGGTTTATTTTTCTTATTAAAAATTAAAATAGGAAAAATAAATAATAATAATAATTAATGTAAATATTTTGCATATAAAAAATAATAAGGAATTTTTTTTTTGTAATTCAGGTTCAGGAACTTTTCAATGCAATGAAGGAGCAATCATCGACAAGATATGAGAGAGAAAAAGAAGTTCCTCAAAGGTCCTACAGCAGTGCTGCGACTTTGACAAGTATAGGTGCCGACATATCGCCAAGTTCATCACACTTTTTCGAGGTACTTTTAAAAAAATATTTTTACTTCCATTTGATTGAAACTTTATTTTTTTTTTGAATTTTGTTTGAATTTATGTCGAATAAATGAAATTTTTTTTATTTTACAGGTTCTATATTTGGGAAAAATTAAATTGAATCATGGGAAATTGCCTCATGGAAAATTACCTCACTCGATAGTCTCTCAAACATTTATCGACGATGCTCTGATTAAATTACGCGTACGTGGACTCGAAAAATCGAAATCATCTGCAAGTAATTTGCTAGCTCAATGCCAACAGCTCAAAAATCAAACGAGTACTTCCGATCTTTTATCAAATATTAGAAGAGATAGTGTGGTAAGAAAAATTTTATTTATTTACTATTAATTAATTTTGCAAAACGGAAAATTAGAGTAATAGAAAAAAATTATAAATGAAAAATTGATTTTGTTTTCGTAAATTAAAATTGTTATCTCTTTAACCGCAGGATTCCAGTGCTAGTGAATTAGGAAGTACAGACAATGTATCGGGAAATAATTTATTATCTCCCACGACGTCTATTAGTCCATTGGGAACTGCCAAAGTGCTTGGTGGCTCCGTAGAAACTCTTCCAGTAAGAAACAATAGTTTAGCAGAGAGTGATGAACAGGAAAGTAAACAGGTGCCAAAGAAGACTACTACCAGTATACAAATACCAGAAACAATGAGAAATCGTGCAGCTTCCACTGGTAGTGTTCTAACTCCTAGAAGAGACTCTTGTACTGATGGAAGTGACGAGCACAATCGCACCATGTTATTCCAAGTATGTAATTAAGAATTCCTTTTTTTTTTACAAAAAAGAAATTTGCAATTATAAAAATGTAATTATTAATTTTAAGAAAATATTTATTTTGTTCATATAATTTGTCAAATTAAAGAATTCCAATTAGTCAAATTGAATATTACATTTTTTTAAGTGATTATATTAGAAAAAGTATTTTAGAATTTTTTAAAAAATATATTTTTATTAAAAATTTTAGGTAGGTCGACAGGATTTGCGTCTTATTAGTCCAGACCGAAAACAAGTCTTGTTGCACAAGCAATTAAAAAATGTAGCAACTTGCGTTCAAGGAATCGCAAATCCAGAACATTTTGGTTTTATATGCAGAGATCCTGGAGCCGAATGTTTCGTTGCTTATGTTTTTAAGTGCCAATCTGAATCTGTCGCTGATGATCTAGTCGGAGGTAAATTAGTTTTTTTTTTTTTTTTTCATTTTAAGTAATTTTTTTTACAACTTTTTTGTAATTGAATTTTTTGTTTATAACAAATGTAAATTTTAATTAACTCTTTTTAAATGAAAATTTGTTTTTTTTTTTGCAAAAAGATCAGTAATGAAAAAAAAAACGTTTCAGCTATTTCACAAGCTTTCATCGCTGGTTACGATGGCAACCGGAAGGAGAGACACGCAGTTTTTTCATGCGAACATTGTCCCATGGTCTGGTATAAGAAATTAGCTCAAGAAATTGAAGGTAAATTCTTTTGTTTTCCTTTGCTTTAATTTGTAAAACAGTTTTTAGAATATTAGAAAAAAAGAATATTTTTTTCTATCTTTTTTGTATAATGTAGTAAATAATTTAGTAATTTTTAAAAAATAATTTTTCCGTAATTATAAATTGTGATCTTCTTTTTCATATTGCAGGTCAAAATGAGAGAAAAACACAAAGTATCATTTTCTCTAGAATGGAAATGTTGTCAGAAGAAGAGCACGAGATAATAGTGACTAAATTCAAAGGCTCTGAAGCTGGTGGCTCTGGAGCTGGCTCGAGTATCCGTGAACAAAATAGTTTTTTAATGGCACTCCTTCGCGCACATTGTGAATCAAAACAGTCTAGACATGTTCACGACACGGCTGAAAATAGGTGAGTGACGCGAAATTTATTATTTTTTACAATAAATTATTTAAACATTAAATAATAATAATAATAAAAAATTGAATATTGTAAAGATTTCAAATAATAAATAATAATATTCTGTTAAGATTAAAAAAAAGAAAAGGTTTGAAAAAAATTTTATTCATGCGTTTTATTTTCTATTTCAGGAGTGAATTTTTAAATCAATATCTCAGTGTCGGTGTAGGAAGTACAATATTTATGAAAGCGAAACGTTCCTTGACAAATAGTTTTGATAATTTAATGAAAAGAAAAGGCTCAAGAGACGACTTTTCTTTACCGGTTCAAGTTCGAGAGTCGAATCAGTTAAATTCAGCGATGCATAAAGCCGGCAGTCAAAGTCCTGTGAACTTAGGATCGCAAACAATCTCTGAGGTTTCAACCGAGTCTGAAAGACCAAGATCGCTTCGAGTTTCTCCCGAGCAACAATTGACTGTAAACACAGGTCCAAAAAGTCCCATGATGGATATGTAAGTTTCTTTCAGTGTTTTTTTTTTAATCTACTTATTAGAAAATAAAATTTTCTTTTCTTATTTAATTATTTTACATAAGTCATGTTTTTTTTTAAATATAATTATCGATTAGAATTTATAGTAATTATTTTGTTTACAGCTTTTTGAAAGTAGGAAACTCGCCAAAAATGTCACCAACTGAACAAGAAGAAGCTAGTAGATTACAAGCAAGTGGTTCATGGAGGCAAGCTATTCTTAATCGTGTTGTAACGCCGGCGAAAGATAAAGATAAAGAAATTGACAAGTCAGGAATAAGTGTTATTAAAAGTCAACAATTAAATGTTCGTAAACGAACTAAAGAAGAATTACGTGAACTTTGGAAGAAGGCAATTAATCAACAGAGAATACTCATTCGAATGGAGAAGGAAAATGCAAGATTGCGTGGTAAATTATTTTGTAAATATTTGAAGAAATTTGCTTTTCTGTCGAATTTTCTTAAGTTTCAATCTTTTGTTTTTTAGTTCATCAAGAGGAGGCAACAGTTAAGAGGATTAAACTTGATTATGATGAACTTAGCAGTTGTGCACGCGAGTTGGTTGAAGTTTGGGATCTCTTGGTTAGCAAGGAGTCGAGAATTTCGACAAAGTGTGATAATCAAATGTTGCTTCAAGCTATTAAACAAGGTAAACTTGTTATAAATTTTCATGGAGATTTTTATTTTAAAAAAAATTAAAATGATTTCAGAGATTGAAAAAAAAATTCTTAGTTATTTATGATGAAACATTTTATTCAGGTGTTCCGAGGGGAAAACGCGGTGAAGTGTGGCACTTTTTGGCGGAACAATTTTGTCTGAAGCAGCCACCAATTGATACTCGTGATTTTCCAAATTACAACATGCCCTATGAACTTCTTTTGAAACAATTGACATCGCAGCAACATGCAATTTTAATTGATTTGGGACGTACTTTTCCCAATCATCCTTACTTCAGTTCACCCCTTGGACCAGGTCAGTTGGGACTTTTTAATTTATTGAAAGCTTATTCTCTACTCGATCACGAGGTGGGATATTGTCAGGGTTTGAGCTTCGTCGCAGGAGTTCTTCTTCTTCATATGGCTGAGGATCAAGCATTCTTTCTCTTGCGACATCTCATGTTTCGACGTGGTTTAAGAAAACTTTATCTTCCCGATATGGCGGCTTTACAATTACATTTATATCAATTGTCACGATTACTTCACGATCGATTGCCGGCAATTTATAATCATTTCGATAAACATGAAGTATCACCAACATTATATGCAGCTCCCTGGCTTTTAACATTGTTCGCCAGTCAATTTCCCCTTGGTTTTGTAACTCGTGTATTCGATTTACTATTCCTTGAGTCGTCGGAAGTGATATTTCGCGTGGCATTGGCATTACTCGAAGATCATCAAGATCAACTACTTTGTTGTGATAGTTTCGAGGAAATAATGGAATATTTAAAAGTAAAAATGCCAGCTGTCGATAAAGCCGTATTGGATCGTGTTATGAAACGTGTTTTTTATCCGGATATGGAAATTGGTAAACAACTCAATGAATATCGTGTTGAATATCAAGTATTACAAGAGGAAATGCTTTCGGTGAAGCCACAAATTGAAAATATGGAAAAACTCGAAATGATAAATAAACAATTGACACAACAAAATTTGAATCTCAGTAGTCAACTTGAAATTGCAATGAATAATTTTCAACGTATTGAAAATACACGTAGTATTAATCAATCGTCATTTCATAAACTTGAGGCACAAAATCGTAGTTTAGAAGTGACAGTTGCAACATTAGGTGGTTTTATTCAACAACTCGTTGATACACGCACCGATATTGATATTCCCGGTGATGTGAGACGAATAGTTGCACAATTGAGTGTCGCGGAAAAAAGACGTAATAATGGCGCGAGAACTTTTCCCCTAAAAGTTCTTGAGGATAATAATAATAAGTTTGGAATGGTGAAAAGTAATTCGACTGGCAAGGAAACACAAAAGTTTCTTCGTGGAGGAATTGAGACGCCATATCCATTGAAATCGGCGTTAAGTCAACCAAACTTGGGAAGTCGATTGGAGAAAATGTCATCATTTTTTGCCAATTCTCATAGTCAAATTGAGCAGAAGAGAGCCGAAATTGCTGCACTTAGAAATGAAAGTGGTTGCGATGATCGTAATAGCTTTAGTAGTAATGATGAAAATGATCCAAAATCAGTGAATATTGATATTCAAATTACTGATACTGTTGGCTCAACCACTGACACCATCACAACAACAACAAATAATAATTTAAAAATTGAATCAATGGCATTGGAAAAATCAATTTCATTGCCATTGTCAAATGCAAAAATTAAATTGAAACCATCAAAATCGGCCTTTGAATTGGGTTCAGTTAAGAAAGTTCCCACAACAAAATTAGAGGACACAACAGAAGAATCATTATCAAATTTGACTGGTACAATACATCCTTTAGATACTTGTAGTGACGTTAATTTTAAATATGGCGGCACAACAAAATTAAAATCAATTAAACCCGTGAGGCTCCCGGGACAAAATAATATTCAAAATGAAACATTAAATAAAGACATTCAAAATCAAAATCCCGAAATATTAAGTAGATAGCAATTGCTTCTACTTACAATATTAAAACGAAATTTGGCCTGATTCATTAATGAAGGACAATTTCTAATATAGTTTCTATATATGCATTGTATAGTTTTTTGCCTAAACTGTCAATTAAAAATTATTTCTATTTACAAATTGATTGTCATCGAAAATTTACGAGAGAAAAAAAAAGAAAGAAATATGTATATCAAAACTCCAAGCACGTGTTTCATCGACGCAGACTGACTTAATTTCTTTTTTTTTATTATTTTGATCCGCGATTTACAAAAAAAATCAACGAAAAAAAATATTTTGACCATTATTTAAGTATTAAAAATTTATTATTATCAGTTGGTTCAAATTTTTATTATAGAAATTAGACTTCGCTTTTTTACTCTTTAACAAACAAAAAATCCAGTTTCGATGACGAGATTCTAATCAATGATTCATATCTTTTTAAGTCGCGATAGCCATAAGTCAATTTTTGAAATCGACTCAACCGTTACCATGTCTTACGATTGCCAAATTTTATAAATTAATTACGCTAAATGTAGAGAGTGAAAATAGTGAAGATTACATTTAAAGTGAGGGAGATAGAAAAAAAAATTTAATTGTCATATAATTAAGGTACAGTTAAGTTGGAAAAAATCTCTGCTGAAAGTTAATGTTGAATTGATAAGATTTGTAAGGAACGAAATTAATTTATTTTATTTATTTATTTATATTATTATTATTATTCTTTATTAGTGGTTCTAGAAAAAAAGTTTATTTTCCATATTTAATTAGACTTTTTTCAATTTTCCCTAAAATTAATTAATTTATAAATTAATCAGTGAAATTGATTCTAAGTTTTTTAAAATTATTTTTTTGGAAAAATGTAAAATTTGTGTTATTTTTTTTATTAAGATTACAAGTTTACTGAATGAATTTTTTAATTTCAAAAATAAAAATTCATTGATAGAAGTTGAATTTTACATAACAGATCATGTTTCACATTTAAAAATGTGTTAAAAATCAAAGTCACTTTTTAAAATTGTATTTTGTAATTTAATTACAAATATTAACAATTTATTGTCAATTATTTAAGATTTAAGAACATTTTGTTTTTATATACGGTATATATTGTTATATATTATTTAAGTTTACTGTAATTAATTTTGTTTATTGAAAAAATATGAAGAACAATTTTTTTTAAAAGAAAAATTGATATTATTTGTTAAAATTAATTACAAAAATTTTCTAAATGAAAATTCTCTAAATTTTGTGACAAAAAAGAACGTTATTTTAAAAATAATAAAAAGACTGAAGAACTAATTTATATTAACAGTGAAATAATATTTATAAAAATATTATTTGAATCTTAATTAACCTTTGAAATCAAAAATATTTGATATTAGTTTGATATTAATGAAAAATAAAATGTACTGAACATAAAAATATAAATTTTTGTTATTTACAGTCTTAAAAACTAATTGATTGTAAAAATATACTAAAAGAAATTATCTTTCGTAAGAGATTGGCCAACTTAACTGTAAAGAAAATAAAACATACAAAGTACAGTAATGTTTAAAAAAAAATCTATAAAATTTTTTTTCCGGGGTATTTTTTGTGGGTAAACAAATTTTAATGTTGCTTATTTGTATTAATCGCATCGTTATAAAGACTGTTGGGAATTTCCAGTTTTTTGATGCGTACTTTTGTTCAGTCGATGATGCGATGCTATGCATATTTATATATAATATATATATATTTTGTAGAATATAGATTTGTACTTTCTAGCCAGTAGTTTTTAAGAATCGATTCTCGCGTCTGGAACGGTCGCCAAATAGAATTATTATATTAAAAAAAAATAATAAATAAATAAAAGAAAAATACAATGCAGCAGAGAATGTATAGTAGATAATTATTCGCAAAGTGTGTATAGTATATAGTTTAGCAATTGTGATCTCCGCTGTAAGTCTTCGATCGATGTATACGTGTAATTATATAATTAAGATGTCTGTAAATTAGTCATGAATTATAATTCGGTTTATTTAGATTCAATTTGGTGATTCAAATGCGTGTCAAGTAATATTAATTTTTTTTTTACTTGACTATTTGAATTTCCAAAAGTTTAAAAAATGTACATTTACTGAAAAAAGAGAGATAAAACGAAAGGTAAAAGGGATGTACGTTAAATAATCAATTATTATTATCTCCATAATTGTCAAATTGTCTCGAATTAAAAAAAAAAATTACGCAAAGAAGATTCATAAAGTGAATGTAGATTTGTATAAAAATGGAAAGTAAAAAATTAATTTCTAAAAAGAAGACAAAGGAATTTCTAAAGAAAAAGAAAATTCATGATTTCGAAATGAGATTTATTGTGAAAAAATTATTTCTAAGATGAGAAATAATGCTAAAAAAAATTTTGTCGCCATTGTAAAATTAGATAACAAAAAATCAACATGAGCTGTGCTGAAAGAAAAATGAAAAGTAATTTTATTCGCTTTCCTTATACTTTTCGTTTGCGAATCATTTTGTATTATTTTAGTGAGTAGATTTACCTGAAAGAGCCACTTGGGTCAGGTGAAATGAAAGTTAAATTAGTTTCTTTTAGAATAATTGTTTTCTAAAAGTTCGACAGATTTTCTTTTTTTTCTTTTTTTTTGAACTCGTTAATTTGTATAAAAAAAAAATGTTTCTCGTCTCTTTTTAGATACGTACATATCATAATTATTTGTGATTTACTTTCTCGCTGTTATTAAAAATTTATTTCTTGGACTCACAAGACTTTAAAAACCAAAATAATACATATATTAATATTAAAACATATATTTATTTAATATTTTTAATTAATTTAATTTTTTTTCTATTTCATAATATTATTTGACGGTGTTTGATTAATAACATTTATTTATGAAAATAATTTTAATTATTTTCTAAATGTGAAATAATTATAATTATTTTTAAAATTTTTGGAAAAGAATATATAAATATTGTTTTTTTTTATATATGTACTTCTTTAAAAAGAGTTCCTAAATTAATTACTCGAATGAACTCGGTGATAATTTATTTTATTATATTTGTGAAAAAATTGAAATCACGTTCCATTATGTGATTTTATACGTTTCGTTTATGATTTTCAATATTGTGCTTTTCTTTTCATGAATATTTTGTAAAAATATGATTTATATATATTTTTTTTTTAATTTGGTGATCGATGTATAGTAAATATTGAGGTTTTAAAAAAGAAAAGACAATGTATCAATTATGATGGGAAGGCATTCTTGTAGAATGTGAGCAAAAAAAAAATATATCAGAAATATAGAATCTAGAGATTCTGCAATGTGATAGTACGAAGTGCTCTTCTAGTAATTTTTCGTGCTTCGATTTTTTTTATGTTAAATGTTATTGCAGGGCAATTGTTACTTTAAAAAAAACCAAGACAAGGTAGTGTATTGTGTATAAGTTGTGTATTATGTGGCCAATTACAATAACATTATAATAAAAAGTAATAAAATAATTATTACCGATGTGAACCGTACTACTTCAATAAAAAGAAAAGAACGACAAAATTTGCCTTTTTTTGTGTCATTTAAAAACATTTTTTTTTTGTAGATTGATTTTTTAGGAAAGTGAGAGGTATTGCAATTGAAAGAAATGCGAAAAAAATGTATTTTTTTTAATATGTATATTTCGTATTCAAAATATAATAATGAACATTACACATGCTAGCGCGTATTATACCAGACAAATGTTAACTGGTACTCACGAATGGTATTGAGTAATAAACTATAATAAATCGAACGGCTAGCGTTTGGAAAAGGCAGATATGAGATCGAAAATACAAAAAGCAGTTCAAATAGCATTCACTGCCGATTATTATTTTTTTCTTTTCTTTTTTTAAATATTAGCAAAAATTAAAAACCGAATCGCTTTTATTGTAAAGGTCGCAAAGAATTTTTACTCTCCTAAAAAAAGTGTCGTTGTGTGATCTTTTTTTTTCTTTCTATTTTCTTCCTCTCTACGGAAATATAGACCAAAAAACTCGAATTCTTTTGTTTCTTTTTTTTTTAGGAAAACTTGTGAACCTTAATTACTGCGCGTTCTTCGTTTAAAAACAGTGGATTACGAAGTTAATGGCACTGTCACGTATAGTTTTGTGCGGATTCATTCTCTAACTTTGCCCTCGTCGTTTATTTTATTATACACATAGAGAGAGAGATACGCGAAATATCGAATAAAAACTTTTTTTTTTTTTCAAAATACGATGCAACGTGAGAGAACGAGTTTTACATGATATGAAAAATGATAGCGCATCAACTTTATTACTTGCTCTTTGCAAACATATCTGCGATCCTGCAACGAAAAAAAATTCAAACGCCGCGTCACACGATTAAGAATTTTTTTTTCTTTTTTTGAAACGATAGTTATATTTTATCAAAATTTTTTTTTTCAAATTGAATCTGTTGGTTATGAGACGTGTAGCTTTTTTTCGTGTTTCCCACGTCTTTGTAAATGCATGTATTGTATATTTATTAATATAATACATAGCCCTTTAATTACATAGTTAGATCGAAATTAGGCAGGCAAGCAGAAGCCCACACACGCATATTTATTTTTATTTATTTTTTTTGTTTTTTTTTTTCATCTTTTTAAGCCCCGAAAACCCTTATACAATATAATGAAGTCAATAATATTCATAATATTTGATACTTTACAGTGGCAAGAAAAAACAACACTCAAACTGCTTTAATATCTTAATATTTATATAATAATCATGTATTCATCACAGTGAGAAACGAAAAATATATGCATATATATATTTACTATGTATAATATATATATACACATCTTGTACAGATTATAACTATTAAATCGCTAAATAGATATCCATTCAGTGGCACTTTGCTTAAAAATATAATTTCCCTATAAAAATTCTCTTCCTTTCTTTTTTTTTAAAACAAAAAAGAAATGAAATGCCAAATTTTATTTTGATTTTTTTTTGGAAGAAAAAAAAATTATTTCTCCAATAAAAAAAGGAAGAGTTTCTTTTTTTTCGAGGGGAAATTATTTTTCAAGTCACCCGATTATTCTCTTCTTTTTTTTCTTAATAAAATGATTCTCTATTTGTTCCACGCAATTTCCTTGTTTTTGTTTCACACCGTTTCGTTTATTTTCCGGTACAAATTCGAAAAATTTGTAATGTAACAAATTTTCGTGTTATAGGATAAAAGTATTTGCAGTTTTTTTTCTGATTGAAATACTCTTTTTTTTCTCGGTTAGAGACAAAAGCGTTTTACGCTCGCTCCAATAGGGTTTTTTTTTTAAAACTCTTAAAGATTACATCTACACTTAGCAATAACTTCGTTGCCACTGATACCCGCGTTGTGTTTTAGCTGCACACAAACACGCATACATACATACACACACATATTCATGCTCACAATCGAGAAGCGATTTTTTCCAAACTTTCGTGTTTTTTTTTTTTTTTTTTTGTTTCCATTTCAACGGGTTTATTTCGCAAAAATCAAATCCTTACATCTTTATATAAATATACCTATAGGAGAGATTGAAAATTGACGGCTGCTTACTGAAAATGACGTAACTAAGAAGCGGAAATGAAATAATAATTATTTATTTGGAGAAAATTATTATTAAAATTAAAGAATTAAATTAATAACAAAATTTTTAATTTAATTTGTTTTGTATTTAATTTAATTCAATTTTATTTATTACAATTTCTTCTAATTTTGTGAAAGGAAAATTGATGTTTTAAAATTTCATTTTTTATGGCATTTTACAGTCTCAGAAATTAAATTTTTTCTAATCAATTTGGAATTTAATGCAATTGAATTTTATTGTTAATGAATTAAAAGTGCAATATATTTTCCTTTTGAAATTTGGATAAAGTAATTTATTTTATGTAAATTTTTTGGAAAAAGACTGTAAGTGATAAACTACCATAAAAAATAAATTAATTTTTTTAAAACAAAATTTAACAATTTTTCAACTTCCAACGTATATTAAATGAAATTTTTCTCTCTGAGAAAGATGAAGACTATATTATATTTATATATTTAATAGGAGTCTTGGAAGATTTAACATTAATAACTTACAATAAATATCGATATACCTTAAATATATATATATTTTATATATATTTAATAACAGGAAAGTATTTTGTAAAAAAGAAAAACAGAAGAAAGTTGCTTTTTCCTTCCTACCCTGATTTTCATCAACCTCGTAGTTACGCCACTTGTAATAACACATTAAGATACGCTTACAACGAACAAGAGTAAAAATTGTTGATAGGATCTCGAGGCTTGATTCATTTATCTTGTGAATCTCGGGAATAAATATCAATTAAAAAACTAGAAATACCTTTCTTATATTTTAATTAAAATCACTTAAACTTCATTTATAACAAAATTTACACAAAGTTAAAAAAAAGAAAAATATTTTCCAATTCCCTATTTTTGTTTATTCAAAATTTCATTAAAAAATGTTTTCATAAAGTAAAATTTTTTTTTCATTAAACTTGAAAATAATTTCAAAATTATGAAAACTGTTTTGTTAAAAAAAAATTACTATTTCAATTTACATTTTTGAATAAAATTCTGTTTCTCTTTCTCTCACTAATAGAGAAAAAAAATATCTCGCCGAGTATTTCTGAATGAAATCTCATCCTGGTTATTATAAGTTCCGCGTGGAATTTGGAGAATTCTCAAGACCAGTTTTTGGTCCATTCTTATATGATTTCTATAATGTATAAAGTTGGCAGCGAAGAGCTTTTAGAATTCAAATAATCCAAGAAAGGTCTTGAATAAATAAATTCCTTTCGCACTCGTAGACCTATCACGATTAATTCTAATTAGCAGCCAAAACGATATTGGACTTTGTTTTCAGTTTAATTCTCGTCCCACCCGCTCTTCTTTTTTTTTCTTCTTCTTATAAACAGTCTTATTATAGTACAATATTAAAATTGTTATTTACAGATGTGTGCAACTAGCTAAAGAACAATAAAAATCATTCCTCCTCAATCGCTATTTAGTTCGATTTTAGGTTTCGATCAGTTTTTTTTTAAACTTATATGAATAGTATTTTTTTCATTCGATCTTTTTTTTCGTTTGTCGTTCAATTGGGTTTTTTCTTTTTTTTTTTTGAAATCTTAATTACTTATACCCTGATCGTATTTACAGCATCGAGATTAAATAAAAAACACTCATATTTAAATATTTATAATGTATTTATATATATTTATATATTTATTTATATTTTTATATATATAAATATCTTTAGAAGTGGTCGCATTCAAAGACCATTGTCTCGCGTTTTCTTTTTCTTTTTAATTCACTTTGGAATAATGAAACGAATAAATAAAAAAATAAATAAGATGAAGTATTTAAAATTTCAATTTGAAAAGTATAATTTTAAAAAAAATCCAAAGTATTTTGATACTTTAAATATTTTCGCTATACTTTTTTTGATACTTTTTTTTTAGTAAAAGTATTTTGATACTTTGAATATATATATATAAATATTTTTTTTTTATCAATACTTTTGGTAATTTTGAACTGAAACGATTTGACAACGGTCAAGGAACGTTAGTTTATAATTACCGGTTCGTTATAATAAATTGACGACACAATTAAATTTGTCTCTTGTCGTCTAAAAACTGTACAACTTTGAACTTATGATCAAGTTTTTTTTCTTCTCTTTTTTTTGAAATCAGTCGATGTCAGATGATATACTTATAGAGATTTTTTTTTTTTATAAATACTGTCGATCTGCCAACTCGATAGTAATAAAAGTTTTTTTTTGTTTTTTTACTACCTTTTAATAAATTTGTGAGTAAAGAACTTTGGAAATTGTTGGCACACATCATCTTGATAAGAGTCGACTCATCACAGCGGCTCCAATAAGCAATGCGAATGAAACTCTTGATGACGAGGAGGCTGAGCTTGAAGCCGCTTTTGTCAAATCCTCACAGACACCTGAAAAATACAAGATAGAGAAAAATTAATTTTAAAAAAATTTTATTTTCATTTTTATATTTTGTAATTTTTCTTTAATTAAATTTTAATTTATTATTAATTGTAAATAATATACAAAAAAAAAATTAATATTAATATTAATATAAAAAAATAAACAATAGAGAACAAATATGTGAAATAAACAAAAAGAATAAAAGGAAGAGTAATATAAAATAATCAAAATAAAGAGAAAGTAAAAAACAGAAAACACAAAGAATTTTTAGAAACTCTTTATATTCTCAAGAAGTCATAAAACACGAGATAAAAAATAATAAGAAATGAAACAGAAAGAGAGAGAGAGTTCATAAAAATAAAAAAGAAAATTACTCGGAAATTTTTTTGAGAAATTGTTTGGAAGAATTATTTCCAAGGGAAGATAGCTAGGATAAGGGGTTTTAAAGAGAGAAATATTTTGAGGGGGTAAAATGAAAATAATATTTTTGTTGGTGGTATCATACTTAAAAAAAGTATAGTAAAATATAAAAAGAAAAAGTGAGAATTATTTAGGATTATTTTTTTTTACCTTGACTCATTAATCGATAGGACCATTGATCATCGACATTTCTTTGGCATAAATTTGATGGTTTAGACAATAACAATTCTTGTTCTGATGAATCCATTCGGCTATTTCTTCCACCTAACTTGTCGGATGGGTCGCTGAATCGCATGGAGAAACAGTGAGTTTGTCTTTCTGAGCTTGACTTATTTCGAGACACTATCGTAAACCAAGTTCCATTTTCCTCCCAACTACCTTGGCAAGAGTACAATGTAGCTAAAAAGTAATGGGTTTTACTTTAATATAAACGACTCTTTTATTTTTTTTTCTTTTTCTTCTTATTTTTTCAAATTTTACTTTTTATTTTTTTTTTAAATTATTTAATTTTAATTTCGAAATTATTGAATTTAATCAACAAATACCTATTTCTCCACTTTTGCAAGATTGTGCCATAATGACTTCATTTTGGTCCATGGAATTGCATCCAATGTGAACGTCAGTACTTCTGCATTGCTCATATTCATCATCTTGTCGAATTTTACTGGTTGTGGATTCTGCTGATTTTGCTCGTCTCTTATTTCGCCTTCGCATACTCGATAATGCTTGAGATGGTAATGAATTTAATATTGAATATCGACCTGGTTGAGGACATCTTCTTTTATGGAGTGATGACGCTATAAAAAATATTTCAAACATCAATTAATAACGGCTCTATGAGCAAAACAAATTTTCTTTTTTTTCTAGAAAAAAAAATTTGGAAAAACTTATTAAAATAATTTAATTTATTAAATAAGGAGAAAATTGAAATGATTTTCAAAATTCCAGTAAGAATATTTTATTCTAAAAAGATTTTCCGAATATGTAAGAGAAAAAAAAATTTGTTAAACTTTATAAAAGTTGTAAATTTTTATTTAACAATGAATTTTCATTAACCATAATACGAATTGAATTAATAAAATTGCGTTCGACTTACTTATCAATGTTGTATATGGCATTCGAGATGGATCCCAAAGTTTACAAGCTTCATCTGGTATGATTGCCTTTTGCTCTGTAACGAAAAATCAAGAATTCAATTTCGATCTCAATAAAATGCAAATGCTATTGGCTTAATAAATATTTCAAAGTTCACTCGTAAAAATTACTCACCGGATTGCTGTATTTCTATTATGTGTTGGTCTCGCTGATGGAAGATCATACAAACGTAACCAATATCACTGTTTGAAAAAAGCAAAAATTAATTTTCAAAACTATAAATATTTATCACTCATAATATTTTTTCAATAAAGTTTTATTACTTTTAATTTTAATTTTTTAAATTTGCAACAAAAAAACTAAACGAAATGATTAAAAAGCAATAAAAGGAATGATAATTAAAAAATTTTTGATTATAAAATCTAAAGTAGAAAAAAAATGAAATTTTTTAATTATAAAATTTTTTTGCTTCTATTTTCGAAAATGGGTTAAAATTAATTATTTACCAGCCACTAGTGACGTGAGCGACCAATTTCACTGATGTTCCCGAGTTTGCCTTTTGCTCAGTCTCCAAATTGTGGCAAACAATTTTCTCCTCATGCTGTGACGTGACATTTTCATCCTTATAAGAAACTTTTAAAGTTGAATTACCAGCGAGAAAATGATAATTCTTTGCACCGTTCAAAGTATGCCAGGCGTGATGTTTAAGAACCCAAGAAGGATATTTACATTTTCGACGTTCTTTATCTTCTGTAAAATTTCAATTGAAACAAAAAAATATTAAAAAACGTTTCTTTGATTTTTTTTTCAAAAGACAATATATATTAAAAGTTCCACTGTATTTAAAAATCAATCTCACGTTTTTTTTGTGAGAAAAATTTCCATATTTCAAAAAAAAAAAAAAAAAAAATTTATTGAATTTTTACGTGCTCTCTTGGATTGTGTGTTGAGGCATTGATATTCTCATATTTGCATATGACATTCTTCCACGATCATTAAGAGTCAGTTTTGAAGTATGGAAAGTATACATAATTCAAAAGCATAAAACCTCCGATGCCTACCCTTTGTGAGTTTTATGGTTTGCGACCCCTCGGAAACAGTAGTCAGGCCATTGCAGGTTGCATCCCCAGACTGGGCCAGTTGATATTCAACTTTCCCTTGACGGTGAGTTTTCTCAAACAAGAAACATCTGCAAAAAAGAAAAAATAAATCAAAATTAAACTCATCAATATGTAAATCATTTTTTTCCACATCTTCTCAAACAGAAAAAATAAATTAAAAAATTGAAAATAAATATAAAAAAACTAAAAAAATTTTTTAATTTAAACAAAATTCCAATAAAATTCAATCAAAATTTCCACTCAACAAACAGAAATTTTTTTTTATTTGTTTTCCTGTAGGTAACAATTTTTTTTTTTGAGCTATAGACATTGGGAAAATATCGAATTGATGATGATGGAAAATGGAGTAATAAAATTAAATGCACCTGCAACGTGTGACATTACATGAAAATGGAATACCTCGCTCTTTTTATAAGCAATCGTAGATTTTACTGCTTAATAAAAAAAAAAAAAAAAAAAAAAAATACTACTCCTACTCTCAAGTATAGACACAAAAAAAAGAGGTTGAATTGCTTTCATAAATTTCTTGTTCTATTTACATTTACACATTTATGTGTCACTTTCTGAAGAATAAAGTTTCCCAACACTTTGCCACTGAATCTTTTATGTTTTCATAGCTGAAGAGAATTCAATATACATTTTAAGGAAAAAGAGTTTTTTTTTCAAAAAGTCAACTGTGGATTTTTTGTTATGAATTTGTCTCACGGACTTTGGAATCTACTGAAAAATATGAACTCTTTGTATATAATAAAAAAAAAAAAGTTAACATGTGTCTCAAAAGGGAGTGAAATTCGATTTAAATTTAAATCCAACTTTTTAAATATGGAACAATTTTGCCTTTTGTATTGTTAAAATTTCCATAGAATTTTCTGCGAGATGAAATTGAAGTTATAAAAATAGTATCACTGTCTCGCTTTCTCTATTTTTTTTTTGTTTTTTTTACACATATATTGGAATTTTGCCCTTATAAAGAATATCAAGTTACAATATAAAATATACAATGAAAAATGAATTTCCTATTTCTCTCTCTCTTTAAAACAAACAAAAAACCCATTAGTTTTTTTTTTAAATTTATTTTACTTTAAAAGAGAAGAAATATGAGAAAAAAATCGTTTGTTTGAGATTGATATTATTTAACAATAAAACGTTAAAGATAAAATTTTTACAAAAAAGAGTTTTTATTTTAATTATTATTATCAATTATTTTTAAGAATTAAATTGTTTATATTATAAAGTCCTGTTTTTATTATTATTTACAGTGTTTCTTTTTTTAGGAGGAGAAATGTTTTTACAAAATTTCAAAAATTTGATTGAATTTTCTTTTTCTCTCCACCACAGGAAACTTTTGAGACTTTCGATTTCTGTGAAATGTTTCCATTTATCCAAAGAAACTCTCACTCTCTTTTAAACTCAAAGTTAAGTAGTTTGGGTCTAACTTAATGAATTGATTTATTCGTCAATTAGGTTCTATAGTGGAAGCAATTCGACAAATTGGACTCTCTTCCAATTAGTTTCATTGCTCGTAACTCTCTCACTCTCTCGAAGGCGACATGCCTTGTATCAATACCTTTTAATTACAAGAACTTGAGTGGTTTTTGTTTTATATATATCTCGTCATTTTCTAAACAAACTGAAATAAATAATCAAATAAATAAAACCAAAAAATAATTTCATAAATCTAAAATCATGTAGGCAGTTCGATGGTATATTGAAAATTAAATTCAGAATAAAATATGTTTTTCTATTTAAAAATAATATTTTTTCGCCATTGACATGAAAAAGTGTCTTTTTTGTGCCTGTTTTGGGCAGATAAAGTAGCACTTTTTAAGGCAGTTTGGGCCAACTGCCTAAAAAAGACTTTTTTAGGCAGCAAACTGCCGTATAAAGTCTTTTTTAGGCAGTAAACTGCCCTATAAAGTCTTTTTTAGGCAGTTGTTAATTTTTGCATAATTTTTTTTTTTGCTTTTATTTTATTTATCAATTTTTATTATTTTTTTTCTTTAAAATTGTTTCACTTTTTCATAACAATGGCGAAAAAAATAGCGTATGTGGCTCGCACGTAGTAATTTTTAGGTTCGGATGATTTCAATACTCGCTGTCTGTGCGACTTCGGTTCGACTCGGCTCGCTTTCGGCTCGACTCGACTCGCCTTCGGCTCGTCTTCATCTCACCTACAGCTCGCCTTCGTCTCACCTACGTCGCACTAACGACAGCTCGTACTGAAAATTACATCCTCACCTAAAAAGTACTACTTTACGTGCTTGCCACATAATATACTATTTTTTTGTAATTTTTATGGATATTTTATGATTTTAACAAAAAATGGTAAAAAAACTATTTTTTTTGCTAAAATTGTAAAAATAAAAAGTCTATAAAATTTGCAAAAAAAAATGTTATGAAATTTTAAAAAAATACACGTTATTTTGAAAAAAGAAAAAAATATTTTATTTTTTTATTTTATTTTTTTGAATATTCAATTGAACTGACTGTATGATTTGACATTTATTCTGTATAAAATAACAAATATTAACACAAAAACAAAAAAAAATGTAAAAACAAAAAAAAAATAATAGAAAAGAAAAAGTTTTGAGCACACAATTACCTGTATACTTCGTTCACCACAGTAGTTCTGCTGCCGGTGCTGCCGGGCTTCAAAGTTCCAACCAAGTACGTGTTACGTGACCCTTCTCTCCAAGTGGCCAGGCACTGCAGTTCCTCGGCTGTAAAAGATGAATGATACAGATAAGATGCAATGTATAAACTTTAATCTTCAGTTCAATTTAACTTACACCTAAGAAAAGATGTTGAACTTTCTGAAAGTGCAGCAGACTAATACAAGAATATATTGCTTACTTAAACACGAAACTACTGTGATCCAGGAAATTGTGTTTGAGAAAACTTGGAATGTTGACAATTCCATTAATTTCATTTTCAAATCAATAGCAAACAAAAAAAAATGTGATAAATAAATTACTTTTTTCATTCACTAATTTCAGTTTACTTTTTTTAATTTACGAAAAAAAAAAATATTTTGTTGAAAAAAGAAAGATAGAAATAATTTTTAAGTAGAAAAATCCACTATATAGTTAGACGTGATTAAATTTCTTAAAACTTCAGAATAAAAAAAAAATTTTAATAAAAAATATGAATCTTTTTATAAAATGATTTTTTTTTTCATTAAAAAAATTTTTTTAATTATAATTTGAGTTTATTATAAGCTTAATATGAATTCTAGTCATGTTTTCAACACGAAGCGTCAACCAATAAAATGAGTCTATATTTTCGTATATTACGAAGAGCTGATTGAAAATTTAATCAAATTACATGGCAGAGTAAGTTTCAGCTTTTGTAAAAAGCACATTTTCTCTAATCTCATTATAGACAAATTATCTCAAAATGCATTAAACTTTTTTTTTTACTATTCATCATTTAAAAATAAAGTTCTCTTTTGGAATTTTTCTTTTTCATTTTTTTTCTTTTGCAATTCCCGTTTATACTACAAATAAATAATTTTTAATTAGAAAAAAAAATTTTTTCTCAAAAATTCTCGTATTTTTATATATGAGGAAATTATCAAAAAGAAGTAGAAAATTAGAATTCTCTCATTATACGAAACATTGTGAAAAAAGGAAGGAAAGAAAAAAAAAGAAAGAAAGAAATAAAAAAAAAGAAGAAAATTGAGCGGAAGACCTCTTAGAACTGTGGATTAAGGCGCTTGACATTTCTGAGTGGGTCAAATGGCTAATGCAAAGAGCCCTAGACTGGCGTGAAAAGGGGCACTGTATAGTCTCAAGAACTAAAAATAAAAATCCTGATGTAGTTAACGAGGCGAAAAAGCATGCTAATTGAATTACGTTAATAATCCTTTTAGTGGTTTCGATCTGATGCAAGACTTCTCTTTTGTGAGGTTCTGTTTTATTAAGCCGCCCTGTCTCTACACGAGGAAGCCCCTGAATATCTTGTCAATTATAATTTGCTTCCTTCAAATCCAAAACGAAACAATTCAAAGTGGAAGACAATTATTTTTAAATGCGAAACATTTTTATTAACGTTAAAATACAACTTATTCGAAATTTCAAATATAATAGAATTATTTCAATGGAAATTTTTTTTAATATTTTAAAAATATTTTTAGCTTTTTTTTTTAATTATTTGACAATAGATAATTTTAAGTCAAATATTTTTTAGTAATACTATTTCGATTTTGCTATATAAAAAAAAGGGGAAATTAAAGAAAACTCCACTTTTAGATACTAAAAGAGTTAAAAGTCAGACGAATTTAATTTTTAAGTAGAAACAGTCTCTAGAGTCAGACGAGCTCAATTTTTAAGTGGAAAAAGGCAAGTTGGTAGACGAAAAACATTTGTAAGTGAAAAAAGACTTGAAGATAAGACAAACTTAATTTTTCGCGAGAATTTTTGAAGTAGAATTTTTTTTTAATTTTAAGAAGAAAAAATTTTAATGGTAGATAAATTTAGTAAAAAAATTATTTAAGGGCAAATATAGAATTAAAATGTTATGACTAAATTATTTTTTCTACTTAAAACATTTTAAATTGACTGTCTTTAAAATTATTTTCTACTTTATTAATTTAGTCTTCTACTTCAAAGTCTGTAATATTGTCTGACTATAATGTCTTTTACTACTTAAAAATTATGTTGCGATTTTAGATTTTTTTCTACTTTTTATGTTTTTTTTTCTTTTTAAAAGTCTCTTTTAAATTTAGAATTAAAATGGTCTGACTAAAAATTATTTTTTCTACTTAAAAATTTGAAAATGACTAACTAAAATTATTTTCTACTAAATTGTGAATTTTGAATGTTTTTAACTTTTTTTCTATCAAGACGTGAATTTGTCTGACTGAAAATTTATTTTTCTACTTAAACTCAATCTTGTCTGACTGTAAAATATTTTTTCTACTTGAAATTTTAGTTTCCTGACAGAAAACAATTTTTTGTTACTGAAAATTTGAAATTGTCCAACTAAAATTTTTTTCTTCTGAAAAAATAAGTACGTCTTAAAAAATATGTTCGTCTGACTACACTGGATTTTTCTACTTAGAAATTATGTTCGTCTGACTGTAAATTATTTTTCTACTGAAAATTTAAGCGTTCATAACAAAAAAAGCGTTCATTAAAAAAAATAATAAAAAAAAACATTTTTCTATTTCTTTAATCTTTTCATTATATCTGTATATAAAAAAATAATAATGTCTCCATTACTATATTTTATAATCGATTGTGAATCATTAAACGAGATCGAGAAAGTTTCGCCTGAATTTCTTTATACCAGTTAATTGGCAATTGAAAAATAAAAATTTTTTTCCCCGAGGTAAAGATATTCTTAGAGTAATTAAACGATAATTTAAAAAGAAGTTTTCTGTAAGATAATTAATCCAAGGATTGAGTTTGCGATAAAAGCAAATGGCATTAAATTGAAAGCTTTAAAGCTAACTGGATGAAAGCTAAAGTTTCAAATAATTTGAATGAATGAGGAAAAAAAAAGAATGAAATAATAAAAAAAAGTATAAAATAATCAAAAGAAGAATGAAATAATGAAAAAAAAACGAAGAGAGAAAGAATCAAAAAAAATATGGAAAAATTTGGAATAAAACAAAGATGAAAATATATTGAATTTTTTTTTTCTAAAATCATACATATGATTCCTCTTTTCAATGGTAAGGGGAAAATTTGCTTTTTCCATATGGGACTTATGTTGCTGTTTGACCGAAAGTAAGAAAATTTCGTATGCAAACAAATTCTAGTGATCTCGAGGAATATATATCCTCACCTGGGATTTGTGTTTGAAACCATGAGGCTAGCCTTCTCTTCGCGCTTAAATCAGAGCTTTTCCACCAATCCCATTGCGAATATAGTGCTGGAAGTGAGGGTCGTGTTATGATTGCGAAAAAGCCTCATGGTTACCAACACGTGTTACTAACATAAAAGAGAGAGAGAAAGAGAGATAGACCAGAGCTAAGATTATCGTAGTGCCTTTGATCAAATATAAAATGAGAGAAGAAAAAAAAATTGCAGAGAAATATAGAGGAAATTTTCGAACACGTCCTAAAAGATAACAAACATTATTTAATGATGAATTTTTCGCATATATATATATATATATATATATATTTTACTCTGTCAAACAGAATAAATCATCATATTTTCTTTTAGAAGATTTTCTCTTTCAACAAGCTTTCATATTAATGCATCCTTTTGAGAAAGAATTGACATTTCAGTTTCTTAAATTTTAATTTATCAATTTCCCTCTCCTCAACTATTTTTCAAATAACAAACACGAATAATTTATAAGCTTTGAATAGTTAAATATAGAACAATATTTTATAAAGTCAGAACTAGAATTTTAAGTAGAAAAAAATTTTAAGCCAGACAAAAAGCATATTTAAGTGAAAAAATCCTTTACCGCCATTAAATTAACTTCAATTTTCAGTAGAAAAATACTTTATAGTCAGACGAATTTAATTTTCTAATAGAAAATGTTCTTTTCCATTCAAAAATGTCATAAGAAAAAACTTTACCTACTGATTTAAAAGAAGTAATTTTACTTTAAATATTCGATTTTTTCTTCATCTCTTTCATAATCAATGGAAAAATAGTCGATTTGGTGGAATATTACAAAAAATTCATTCACAAAAAGGAAATAATAAAGCGAAATTTAATTAAGAAACCAGTAATGGAAATATATTCAAGGATCAAATATACAAATTACAAGTCAAATATATACGTGAGATCAAGGATATTATTTTATTATTTTACGAATTTTAATTTTCTTAAAGGTTTTTAATTGCAGGAGAGAAAAGAAGAAGAAAAAGGAATAGGAGAGAAAGAGAGAGAGAGAGATGTTAAAAAATGTAGTTTGACACTAGCGATGGAAGAAAGATTATATACGCAGAATTTATGAATAATTGAAAGCAATTAAAAGTTGTCTCACTGGGAAATTAGTGAAATTTAAGTATCAAATCAAAAGTATGACCTCTTATTAAAATTATCATTTCATTCTAAATGATGAGAGTTATTTTATTTTTGCAAACAAAAGTCTAATAAAAATTAAAAAAAATATTCTCAGATGATACAATTTATACTAACGATACTTATTTTTAATTAATAACAATAAAGAACAAGGCATTTTTTTTTGTCTGTTCAAGCTCCTGTGCAAATATTAAGTGCTTTAAAATTTTCTCCATAGTCATTCTAGATGTATTTTCGAACGCTGATGAAGGATTTAGGGTCAAAATTGACGATTTCAAAGTTAAAAACTGTTAAAATTTAAAAAACAATAAAAATTATCTGCCTAAGAAAAATTGAATTTTTTTGAAAATTTTTTTTGGACGAAAAGCGCTTTAAAGGTCAAAATATGGGTCTTCCTCTACTCGTATTTGGCTGTCAATTTTTTTCTACACTTTTAGGTGTATTTTGTGCAAGAAATTGCAATAAAATAGTCTGCCTAAGAAAAATTGAATTTTTTGGGGAATTGTATCATTATTTTGAATTATAATATTACATTATCATAATGATTTAAATATTTTTATATAAGAAATTTGTCGAATGGAATTATGTTAGCGCGCATTTTCGTGCGCATCTAATGCTAGTTAAATATATTTTAATTATTAAATAATTTTTAATAAATATAGGGAAAAATAAATCCCCTGTTATTAAAAGCATTCGATATATGCTATTTTTTATTATTTAATTATTTATTTTTTTTAATTAAAAACAAATCGAAGAATATAATAGTTAAATAAAATATAGGTAATAAAAAAATATTCATTAGGTTTTTAAATTAAAATTAAATTTGTATTTTCAATATTTTTTTAATACTATGGAATATTTCGCTTAAAATTTTAATTAACGATATTGAAATTTATAAAGTAAAATTTGGATAGTAATAAAAACTATGAAAGTATAAAGTATGAAATAAAAAATAAATATTTAATTGCAAAAATAAATGAATAATAACTAATAATTTTCATAGGGTATGTAATAATTAAATAAAAATAAAATCTCGTTAAAAATCTATGGAAAATCATTTTTTTAATTATTTGTTAAAATTTAATTCTATAATAAATTAATAACAATAATTATTAGTTCAATTATTTACTGTTATAATATTTATTAATCCAATTTTCCACCAGAATTTCAAAATAAAATTTGAAATAAAAAATTTCATATAAATAAAAAATAAATTTAAAATAATAATAATAATAAAATTGTTATATAAACTCACTGCTGCTTTCGGTGCCAGCAATATCAGGACATGCTTGGTACTTGAAGATCAATTTGCTATCATCTGTACAACTCTCAGCTTGATTTTCTGGTACTTTACAATCGCCACGACCACGACTATAGGAAAAGGTGAACGGTGGTCCTTGAAATGGACAAGGGATCGGTTTCGCATCCACCCGAAACATGGTGTTGAGACTTTCATCTAATTTAATAGCCTCTGACATTTGAGACAGTGTTTGCTTTTGACTACAGTCACCTGCAAAAATAGAAAATACATCAAATATTAGTAATTATTTTAAATTACAATTTTTTATTTTCATTTCTCTATTTTTTTCCATTTATTTTATTTTTATTTATAAATTTTTATTTGATTTAAATAAAAAAATTTATTTACGCCAAATAAATAAGCTGTGAGACAAATATATACGTTTATTTAACTTAAATATATTATATTTGATTCAAATAAAACATTTCTCTTGGCGTAATAAATACTAATAAAATGTCAATGAAAATATAAAAAAATTACCGACACAGAAATCTACCCTACCGACTGATGGTAAGGAAATAAATAGGCTGTGAGGCAAATATACGTTTATTTAACTCAAATATATCATATTCGGTTCAAATAAAACATTTCTCTGGGTGTAATAAATACTAATAAAATATAATAAAATATAATATTATATATATAATAATAATATTACTGTAAAATATGAATATAAAATAATAATATATGTTAAAACTGAAAATTAAATTGAAAACAGTGTTTTAACATTTATTTAGTTTTGTTCGAAAGGTAAATAATATTTCCTCATGCTCCAGTTGGTTTCCGGTGTTGAAGTTTGTAGAGCGCGAAGGGAGTTGAAAAACAATTTAAATGCATTTTGCGAATGTTATATTTATATACATATATATATATATATAGAGAGAGAGAGAGAGTTTGATTTTGCATTTGTCTATTTATAATTCGAAGGCCTTTAACGCGTGCGGAACGTGCCTTAATTCTCAAGGGGCTGTGTAAGCTTGTGCGGTCCTTTGATAATTTATGCATTTCGGCATAATCTCTCTCTATGAAAGGAACACGCTAGCAAGCAAGCTTGAGGCAGCTTCTCGCAGAGATGGAAGGGCTCCGCCCTTCTTCACTCTTGACTAAGAGATGAGAGCAACTATATATATAGGGGAATGATGCAAAAGGGGCTATACACAAGGTCGGCGCGGGGGTTGAAAAAGGGCGTTGACTGCGGAAAATTTTCCAAATCACTGAATAATCACAGATTTTCATGTATGGTTTCAAAATCAGAATAGAAATAAAGTTTACTTTTCCATTTTCTGTTTACTGTTATTTTTTTCCGTTTTTTATGTATTTTTTACAATTTTTTTTACATTTTTTTTGTTTTTTTTTTTAAATTTTTTTCTGTGTTTGTCAAATATTTTTTTATAAACTCAATTTTGTGGTGTTTTCAATATTATATGTGTGTGTGTTCTCAATTTTTGCACGTTGGACTTTATTTACATTGGAGAATTTAGAAAAATGCAACCCCCCCCCCCAACATATTCTCCTTTGTATGTATGTGCGGCATTTCTACGCAAAACGAATTTGCAACTGGTCGAAATTCATGAATCGTGTGATTCTGCAAATCGCTGAGCTGCATTTTATGTATATAAATAGTACTGTATCAGCGATATACGATAGCAGCACGTGAGATTTTACGAAATATATAAACGATTCGAAAGACAAGGTATTTTTCCATGAATTTGGCAATATATTTTATATTATCTTCGTCTTCTTTTTTTTCATTTCCATTTCATTTTTTTTGTGATACTTTTTTTGATAAAATAGTAAAAATATTTACTAATAAAATATTTATTTAATAAAGGTATTATTTAATATTAAGAAATTATTTAATAATAAAATATTCAAATTTGAAGGTTGAATATAAAAAATACCGACACAGAAATCTACAATACCGACTGATGGTAAACAGTTTTAAAATTTCTTTATCATCAGACGGTAAGGTAGATTTCTGTGTCGGTATTTTTAATATTTTTAATTTTAAAAATTTTCCAGTACCTTGAAATTCGATATACGTGGGTTTCACTGTATGTGTATGTGAAATTTTGACATTATTTCTAGAAATGGGAGGTAGAATCGTTAACTAGCAGATAATCTAGAATATAGTTGAGCGTATAATATTATGACGATGATAAGGAGGGCATAGAGCACACACATATATATTCGACTAGGAAAATCCCATTGGTGTGTGACGTGGGGAAAATTCAATAAACGAGAAAAGTGCTCCCAATTAGCAAGAACTAGGACGCTACCACTGATTCACAAATTTCATTAAATATATATATATATATATATGTATATAAAAGGGGTTTTTCATCTCCCAGTGTAAGATCTCGGCAGAGAATCTTTACGTGCACAATGGACTGACTAAATGAGATTTTTCCAACAAAAGCTCCCGAGTATAACAATTTGGATGAAAATGTTTGTAATTTTACAACTCATTTCATCATCTATATAAAAAGGAGGAGAACCTATGGAAATTGGACACTGTTTCTAAGCCAAAACTTTTCATTAATTTTCCATTTATATACAAAATATATAACACACTTTTCAGTCTTACAAAATTTTATATATATATAACAATTCCCAAGCAATTTAGTTGTCTCACGTTACCATAAATACACTCGAGGAGACATTTATTTGTCAGTAAATTTGTTCATTGTTGAGATAAATTTATATAAGTTTAATATATATTTAATTCAAATGAATGAGATGGATTCAACTTAAACATGAGAAGGAGGTAAATTTAGAATTAAATTTCTATGTGCAAAATGCTGGAAATAATTCATTTTAATTAAATAAATATTTATTTTTAAATAACATTCTTTTAGCAATGTTTTCAAATAAAAAATATTTATTTAGTATCTAGAATATTATGGTATTTAATACTTAGTATTTAGTATAGTGTAGTACTTAGTGTACTACAGTATTTAGTATTTATTGTACTCTAGTACTTGGTATTTAGTATACTATAGTATTTAGTGTAATATATTATTTGTTACTTAGTATTTAGTACACTATAGTACTTAGTAATTAGTATTTAGTATAGCATATTATTTAGTAATTAGTATTATATAGTATTTAGTACTTAGAATTTAGTATTGTATTTATTACTTATAATATTTAGTACTTTTAGTATTATAGTATTAAGTCAATATATTCTGTCAAATATTTCTTACTAGGAATAAATTATATTTATAATAGAAAATTTTCTAGTTTTTTTAAAAATAATCTTTATTGTTTACAATATTCAATATTTACATTTTTTTAATCAAATAAAGTTTACTTTCTATTAGTCAATATTTTTGGAAAATTAAAATTTTCTTTTTTTTGCCAGTCGGAAACATCTATAGGACGATCAAGTTATTAGAATTAAAAGAATCATTCGTCAAGTGGTCCCTCACATCTTCTGTTTCTTTCATTGCACCGAAGATAAGGGCAACATTCTCTATCAATTCGGCACTACAAATTAAAAAATTGTTAAAATTCATTAAAAAATTGCACTATTCTAATTTACTAGAAAAAAAAGACTAAAAAATAATAAAATTTTAATTCTATGTATAATTTAAATAATTAATAAATTGGTTATTACTAATTCTCCTTCCAATCGACATCTTTCACATCTTTGCAATCTATCATTGCATCGAAGATCCAAACAGCATTGTCGATCTTGGCGACACTTGAAATTAATTATTAAATTATTTTTAAATTCTCGTGTTTTGGAAATAAAAATTTACATCTTTTAATTAAATTATTATTATTATATTTTGAAGATTTGAATTATTATTTAAAAATTATTCTTACTCCTTGATTTATTTGAAGGCAATCTCTGTTTTCACATCTTTTTACTCTTTGATTGCATTGAAGATTCCGACAGCATTGTCGATCATTGAAACACTTGAAATTAATAATTAAATGTTTTTTTTTTTAATTATATTTTTATTAATAATTAATAACTTACCCGTCTACCTTCGCCAAAACATGGTTGACCATTGGCTTCTAACAATAAGACAAAAAGGCCAAAGCACAAAAGTAGAAGAGTACAAGATTTCATCTAATTAAATAAATTTTATTTTTACTTAAAAATCAAGAGATTTTTTTTTTAAATTTACAATTAAAAACTTATTTTACCTTTTTTTATTATTTCTCAGATAGTTCGTCTTCTTTAAAAACAAAACCGGAAATTAATGTTGAGAACAAAAATTTATCCCAATTTATACATTCAAAAAAATTGACAATTGTTTATATAATTATATTATTGTTTATATAAAAACGATTTTCCTGTTTATAACTAGAATATATTTTTTCTTAAATTTATCGCCGTTCTGGGATTATTAGTATATTTCAAATAGCTCAATAAATATTTATATTTATTTTAATTTTTTAATATCTTCAAGTTTATTTTTTATTTAATCGTGTAAATATTTTTTATCCTTCCTTATTTGTTATCGTAAGTATATTCATTTCATTTAAAAATATTTTGTTTAGATATAGTAGAATGTTTTTTAAATTTTTTTGTAAAATTATTTTTATTTAAACTTTTTTTTAATAATTTTCAAATATTTTATCAATAAAATATAGAATGAAAACAATAGAATGTTATTATAAAAAATAAATTAATTAATGAATCAATTAATTAATCAATTGTAAAACGTAAACAAATTGAGAAAAATAGAATGGGATAAATAAAATTTGTCACTTGGTAAAATAATAAATAAAAAAATATTCCGCATTATAAACAGGAAAATTGTTTTCTTTTGTGTTTAAACAATAATATTATATAAATAAACGTCAATTTTTTTTTATTAATATCTATATAAATTAAGAAAAAAAATTTTTTAACAGAAATTTCGGATTTTGCTTTGTAAGAGACAATCCATTTGAGAAATAATAATAAAAGGGTAAAAGTAGTTAATTTTAATAAAAAATTCCCAAAAATTGAATTTTAAAGGAAATAAAAATTATTTAATTACAGATGAAACTGTACACGCTCCTATTTTTATATGTTGGACTTTTTGTCCTAGCCGTGAATAGTCAAGAATGTTCAGAAGACGGTGAACGTGTAAGTTAATTATTATTATAAATAATTATTTATATTTTTATTGAGTAAAGAATTATTTTTTTACTAGATTTATTTATTTTTTTATTTTTATTAGATTCCAATTAAGTTTTCTAGTATGTAA